ACGTTACGGACACAAACAGAACTTATTTACACAATATCCACATGTGTGTTTATATGTAATGTATGTATTTGTGTATATACAATATACATATAAAACGAGAAATGTATGTTAAACTTATATACAAACAGTTTTTAAAGTAATCCAGATTTTGTACAACCTACAATTTAGATTTTTCAATATTAAAATATTTCAGTGACATCGAATAATACATATATTCATACAATATAAGATTGGACTGATAATAATAGGATATATGTATGTGGATAATCTTACGACATGATTAAATATCTAACAACATGATATTCTAAATAGTAATATGTACAATGTCTTTTGTACGCGACCATGTTATTAACTCACAAAAGATAAATATTCTTGGTACACTTAAATAAGCCTCTGGATGTAGATTCTGGGATTTATATACATCATAAACTATGTTATGAAAATGGATTTAATTCAAAGAAATATCTACCATAGAGTGAATTTATAATAAAGAAAACATTTTTCATTTTACTGATGAATAAAATATGTAGATGTGGTAAGAATTATGTATCAAATAGGCTTCTTTAAATGGTCATAAACTCATAATTGCCCAAAACCTTTCACAGTCGATTTTACTATAATAAAAAGCACTTACAAACACATATGTATTATGCTTTACTTTCAATTTCATCCTTCAGTCTAACATCACCCGCTAGGCTTTATGTTCTCCTCGTAAGATGTTATGAGTTGTGGCGGCGTTACTTCCTGGTTTTCAATGCTACCTTAAACATTTTACTTTTCCATAACTCTCCACTCATAGATGCCAATAGAATGATTGCATTTATTACCTTTAATATGTCAAGCACCCCACGCTTCTAACTCTGAATGTAATAATTCTGTTCGTAACTTAAATTCTATTATAATTTTATTTTGAAGTAATTAACTAGGATTGATTGTTTTACCTGCTACGGTAATATAAACTGTTTGTTATTAAAAAATATTTTTAAGTTTTTAGTTCGGTGTGCTATAAAAGCGTGTTTTTTTAACAATTATTAATTATTTTTATTTACTACAGAATACATTAAACTTTCAGCTGCAATGGATATTGTCTCAAGAATCTGTATAATTTATGACGTGATCTTAGTACAGTTGTTACTGTTCGAGCTTTCAAGGCACAGAGTCGATGAGTATCGTGTACGTTTGTGTAGGTTCCGCAAAATTCAACAGTGAGGCAACTAAAGAGAGATATTGAAAAACACTTTGAATTATATCAACAAAGGATGGGTAACAGAAAGAAGATATCTTGGAGGTATATATGAAAGAGTTGAAATTACGACAGCATAACACTTGACAAAGATGACAGCAAGATAGAAGATTATGGAGTTAGCAATAAAGTGATAAACTTTTATAAAAATTCGAAGAAAGCCAAGATGAATGTAACTTTTTATTTAGTATAACTTAACATCACTAAACATGTTTTACTTACTATATTAAAAATGTAAATACATTTCTATAATGGAGAAAAATATATAAAATATTAATAAATGTTGTTGACTAAATTATCCTTTTCTCTATTTCCTCGCCAAAATCTAATTTAATAGTGATTGATACATACTCTTTTGAAATTCCATTATTATGACTCTATTTGCCGTTTTTGATCTCCAGTAAGTTCCTTTATAATATTTCTTAAATAATTCAAAACTGACAATGTTCTTACAGTTAGATATGTTACATAGATCATACACAGCTAAATATTGCTTACTTTGTGAGCTGGAATCTTTCGTACATTTCATTACCATTTATTTAGAACCAATATAATTGTATCACTTGACATAAGACTATTATCTGATAAAGATCTATCTAAATATATAAGATTACAGTTGTTCAAAGTCTGGTTGGGGAGGTGGCTCTTGAGGCAAGGGTTCAAAGTCTCCGGGTGTGTTGTGAGGTTCTTCGTGTCTCGGTGTTACCAGAGGGTGGTCATATGCGTCTTTCAGGAGTTCTTGATCATGCTTTAAAAAAAATATGTAATATAAATTATTTGTTTATTTAATTTAAATTATATTTCTCCCCTATGAAACATAGTACACACCTGATCAGGTTGTAAAACTGAAGGTGGGGCAAGATCATCTAGAGATAGCTGAGTGTTGATGACCGATGGGGGAGCGTAATCTGGGATAGCCGGCATGTTCTCCACAATCTAAAACATTAAATATATAAACAATGTGATAATATATTATAATATAATCGCAAAACAGTATGAGTAATCACTAGTAGATACTCACAGGCTCTACTTCATCAGCAGGTTTTAGTTCTTCCCTGACGGTGTTGGCTCGTGCTAGTTCCTCAGTTAAGTACGCGCTTGTGTGTTGTGTCACGAGGAGATGAGATAGAATGTCCGTGCCTGGAGTAATATTATATTAGAACAACAAAGTTTTTCATATAGAATTGCAAATTTTTACGAACTGTATACAATTTTTGCGTCGTGAAGATAAAATCTGTTAATACTACATACTTGTTTAATTTAACGATGCCGTCTGGGGATTAAAATATTAATATTTTATTAGTTACTATAGTCATGGGTATTTGTATATTTTATATTGATTTATATATGCTGCTGGTGTAACAGTTACATAGTTCGTTATAAAATTTATAAAAGAAAATGAAAATATATTATATTGATTGACATCCTATAACCAGTGTAAACTGACTTATGTCTGTAGAGTATTCGCAGACGCAGTATAGCGTGGGAGCGGGTCTAGGAGCGGCCTCCAGTGAAAGTGAGCCGGCGCAATATCCACTGTGTCTCAACATCGCTCGGTAACATGATGTAGCATATGGACACTTGCTGCGCGACGTGCGACCGCTGTATATTGAGAATATTAAAATTATACTTTAGTATGTATTAAACATTTGGTATATTATTTATCTAATCTTTCTTCATTTAAAAATATAGAAATATTAAACAGATGATATCACAATATAATAAGGGCTACTAAAATAACATTTTTTTTTTGTAAAAGTTAATGAGTGTTTTTAACACGATAAAGGAAAAAAAACTACGTCTCTTTACTGACATTCAATAAATCTGATTGTATTCAATGTTTGCAGCGTCGTTTTATCAAGTGGTTATACTAACAGGAAGTGTTTGTCACTGTCAAGCGGCGTGTCACACTCGCGACACAGAAGACCCTCTTGTATGACCAACGTGACACCTTCATACGTGTCGCTGATGGCGTGACACGCGACGTGCTTGATGGGAGGGCGGGCTTTGTTCTGAAAATAATATATTATTATATAATTACTGTTTGTTAATTGTAGATAAATAAGAAGCAGTATATACAAGTAGCAGTAGAGTTATATGACGTACATACCTTGGGCAGGTTAATCGAGTGCTCAGTAGAAAACAGAGGTAGAACCTCCTCGAACGGGTTGTGGTCTCGAATCTGATGCTCTTTTAGTTGACCTGAAAAATATTATACGTATTAATGTGTGTATTGAACTCATTTTATTTTAAATGAAACTAATATTTTTCGGATATACTACGCTACTTGATTTTTGATAAAAACTACATACTCCCGACGTTTCGGCTACTTTTCAGCAACCGTGATCACGGGCAGACGAGATGTGAGATTTTATTTTTATTGTATAATGAGACTAGTAAACCCGGCGGACTCCGTTTCATCACCAGGCTTCGTTTTATGTAACATATCGTTTGGTGATTAAAAGATGAAGAATTTTTTATTGTTTTATATTTGAAAAGGAAAATTGTTATTTCATTTCACAACAGTAATGAATTCATTTCGATTACAGAAATGAAGTGTTATTTATTTGAACTTCTGTAAGTAAATGAAAGTGAATCAAAGTAGATCAAAATAGATACTAATGAAAGTAAATCAAAGTAGATACCGAATCGAAGCGTTATACGTGTCCGCAAATTACCCGTTTCATTGAGGTGCTCCTTTGTAAACCACATTTTTTGTTTTTTGGTCTAACGTTAACACAAAAAAAAAACCGGATGGTTTCTCAACACGTGAACACGCAAAGTATAACTGCCCATGTGAAAAACAATGATTTTCTAAATTTATCCCGCAAATACTAAATGGTTTTAAGAGTTTAAACTACAAACACAATACCGGTTTGTCACATGAAATTACCAGAGCAGAAAACAATGAGTAGCCTTCAAACAATGTATCATGCACCGGCACCATCTACTTAAAATATGCAAACGAATGCAAAATCGTGGAAATCGGTTCGTTCGTTCTGGAGTTATAGCGTCAGGAAGGAAAACCGGACTTATTTTTATATAGTAGATTTAAAACTTGCGAGTATTAATTTAAATGAAAGTAATATTTTCGGAATACATTGCGTATTTTACGAAAATATTAGTTTCATCTGTTTATATAGTACTTACAGTTGTATTATTCAACGAGACGTACGAATCTCAGCACACATCTCGTACATTTAATCTCCAGCTCCTTGTCCTGGTGTTGTTTGAGATGGTCCATGTAGAGGAGCACGTTGGCCGTCAGCTCACAGCCTTCAGCGTACACTGGAATCATCTGAAGACAGATATACGATCATTTTAATTTCTTCTACGTAGTATATTATTTGATGTGACCTCTTAAAATTTATATTGAAACTGAAATAAATGAATTCTTACTTACGAAACGCTTGTTTATTAAAGCCGTTTTTAAATTACTTTAAGAGTTTTGAATAAAGAGCAGAAAAAAATACCTGTCTTTTTAGAAATATGTTCTATAAAAATGCTATTAAGACATGAAAATTTTATTTTGATTTTATGTGACATGAAAACTTGGTTTATTTTGTTAAAACTAGGCACTATTTAAGCTTATTGAGCTATCGTGCATCGCGCCTCAGCGGCAAAGCAATTTACAGGAATGCAGAGGTTACATAGTAGAACCTTGCTAGGGTTGATGAAATTTTTATAGTATACAATCTGTTTGAATGTTATCCTCCCGCTATGTATGTGATAGTGACCTTGAGCCAGTGCGGACAGACTAGCTGGTGGCCCGGCGATGTTTGTCGGAGGCGCAGTACGGACACGCGCCGCAGCTGTAGGGCAGCTCGCGAGGACAGTGGGCCTCCTGCATGTGAGCCGCCAGGGTCAGCACCGCCGCGAAACGAACCTTTAACACATTAACACTATTATTATTATCGCCACCACTTTATATATAGCAGAGTTACTACTGGCTATGCGTCTCACTCACTCATATTTTCTTTTCTGATTAAAACAATAAATACAAAAACACAGCACTATGTAAAATAATATTTAAATTCTGATAATCAAACTACAGCCCCCTGCAGCGCCACGTTGATACTGAAGACAACATGTGTTGAATAAGCGCAGGTTCTATACAATTAACTTATCTTTATTAATTGATTGATAATAATTGAATAAACCACAAAAAATTTTACTTCCATGGCACGCATAGTTTCATGTTCACCCTTTCAAGCTCTTATGGAATAGTCATACTGCAGCTTGATGTTTTTAGTAAACGTAGTTCAAGCAAAACTAAAGTATCAAAAAATAAGTTTGTTTTTTTTTCATTTGCGTGTTGCTATTTTATACCTAAGTATAATATAAATATACATTTTGTTAGTTTTCTATGTGATTTATATTGATTTCACCAAACTTAATTAATTTACTGCTAAATTGTATTTTTTACTTACAAAAAATGTTTTTAGATATAAAATCATGTTCCAATATATTTTTTAGTTCTTATCTGTTCTGTTCAAGGCTTAAAAAATTGTCGATATAACAGTAAAAATATTATATTTTATCTGTAAAATATAAATAAAATAAATAATTATTTATTTTATCTGTCACAAAGGCACCGGCACAACCCAAAACATCTTACCAGGAGAACATAAAGTTATGCAGGTCTCTCAATGAAGTCTGATAAAGATTCATATATAAGATTACAGTTGTTCAAAGTCTGGTTGGGGAGGTGGCTCTTGAGGCAAGGGTTCAAAGTCTCCGAGTGTGTTGTGAGGTTCTTCGTGTCTCGGTGTTGCCAGAGGGTGGTCATCTGTGTCTTTCAGGAGTTCTTGATCATGCTTTAAAACATATGTGAAATATAAATTATTTGTTTATATAATTTAAATTATATTTCTCCCCTATGAGCATAGTACACACCTGATCAGGTTGTAAAACTGAAGGTGGGGCAAGATCATCTAGAGATAGCTGAGTGTTGATGACCGATGGGGGAGCGTAATCTGGGATAGCCGGCATGTTCTCCACAATCTAAAACATTAAATATATAAACAATGTGATAATATATTATAATATAATCGCAAAACAGTATGAGTAATCACTAGTAGATACTCACAGGCTCTACTTCATCAGCAGGTTTTAGTTCTTCCCTGACGGTGTTGGCTCGTGCTAGTTCCTCAGTTAAGTACGCGCTTGTGTGTTGTGTCACGAGGAGATGAGATAGAATGTCCGTGCCTGGAGTAATATTATATTAGAACAACAAAGTTTTTCATATAGAATTGCAAATTTTTACGAACTGTATACAATTTTTGCGTCGTGAAGATAAAATCTGTTAATACTACATACTTGTTTAATTTAACGATGCCGTCTGGGGATTAAAATATTAATATTTTATTAGTTACTATAGTCATGGGTATTTGTATATTTTATATTGATTTATATATGCTGCTGGTGTAACAGTTACATAGTTCGTTATAAAATTTATAAAAGAAAATGAAAATATATTATATTGATTGACATCCTATAACCAGTGTAAACTGACTTATGTCTGTAGAGTATTCGCAGACGCAGTATAGCGTGGGAGCGGGTCTAGGAGCGGCCTCCAGTGAAAGTGAGCCGGCGCAATATCCACTGTGTCTCAACATCGCTCGGTAACATGATGTAGCATATGGACACTTGCTGCGCGACGTGCGACCGCTGTATATTGAGAATATTAAAATTATACTTTAGTATGTATTAAACATTTGGTATATTATTTATCTAATCTTTCTTCATTTAAAAATATAGAAATATTAAACAGATGATATCACAATATAATAAGGGCTACTAAAATAACATTTTTTTTTTGTAAAAGTTAATGAGTGTTTTTAACACGATAAAGGAAAAACTACGTCTCTTTACTGACATTCAATAAATCTGATTGTATTCAATGTTTGCAGCGTCGTTTTATCAAGTGGTTATACTAACAGGAAGTGTTTGTCACTGTCAAGCGGCGTGTCACACTCGCGACACAGAAGACCCTCTTGTATGACCAACGTGACACCTTCATACGTGTCGCTGATGGCGTGACACGCGACGTGCTTGATGGGAGGGCGGGCTTTGTTCTGAAAATAATATATTATTATATAATTACTGTTTGTTAATTGTAGATAAATAAGAAGCAGTATATACAAGTAGCAGTAGAGTTATATGACGTACATACCTTGGGCAGGTTAATCGAGTGCTCAGTAGAAAACAGAGGTAGAACCTCCTCGAACGGGTTGTGGTCTCGAATCTGATGCTCTTTTAGTTGACCTGAAAAATATTATACGTATTAATGTGTGTATTGAACTCATTTTATTTTAAATGAAACTAATATTTTTCGGATATACTACGCTACTTGATTTTTGATAAAAACTACATACTCCCGACGTTTCGGCTACTTTTCAGCAACCGTGATCACGGGCAGACGAGATGTGAGATTTTATTTTTATTGTATAATGAGACTAGTAAACCCGGCGGACTCCGTTTCATCACCAGGCTTCGTTTTATGTAACATATCGTTTGGTGATTAAAAGATGAAGAATTTTTTATTGTTTTATATTTGAAAAGGAAAATTGTTATTTCATTTCACAACAGTAATGAATTCATTTCGATTACAGAAATGAAGTGTTATTTATTTGAACTTCTGTAAGTAAATGAAAGTGAATCAAAGTAGATCAAAATAGATACTAATGAAAGTAAATCAAAGTAGATACCGAATCGAAGCGTTATACGTGTCCGCAAATTACCCGTTTCATTGAGGTGCTCCTTTGTAAACCACATTTTTTGTTTTTTGGTCTAACGTTAACACAAAAAAAAACCGGATGGTTTCTCAACACGTGAACACGCAAAGTATAACTGCCCATGTGAAAAACAATGATTTTCTAAATTTATCCCGCAAATACTAAATGGTTTTAAGAGTTTAAACTACAAACACAATACCGGTTTGTCACATGAAATTACCAGAGCAGAAAAAAACAATGAGTAGCCTTCAAACAATGTATCATGCACCGGCACCATCTACTTAAAATATGCAAACGAATGCAAAATCGTGGAAATCGGTTCGTTCGTTCTGGAGTTATAGCGTCAGGAAGGAAAACCGGACTTATTTTTATATAGTAGATTTAAAACTTGCGAGTATTAATTTAAATGAAAGTAATATTTTCGGAATACATTGCGTATTTTACGAAAATATTAGTTTCATCTGTTTATATAGTACTTACAGTTGTATTATTCAACGAGACGTACGAATCTCAGCACACATCTCGTACATTTAATCTCCAGCTCCTTGTCCTGGTGTTGTTTGAGATGGTCCATGTAGAGGAGCACGTTGGCCGTCAGCTCACAGCCTTCAGCGTACACTGGAATCATCTGAAGACAGATATACGATCATTTTAATTTCTTCTACGTAGTATATTATTTGATGTGACCTCTTAAAATTTATATTGAAACTGAAATAAATGAATTCTTACTTACGAAACGCTTGTTTATTAAAGCCGTTTTTAAATTACTTTAAGAGTTTTGAATAAAGAGCAGAAAAAAATACCTGTCTTTTTAGAAATATGTTCTATAAAAATGCTATTAAGACATGAAAATTTTATTTTGATTTTATGTGACATGAAAATTTGGTTTATTTTGTTAAAACTAGGCACTATTTAAGCTTATTGAGCTATCGTGCATCGCGCCTCAGCGGCAAAGCAATTTACAGGAATGCAGAGGTTACATAGTAGAACCTTGCTAGGGTTGATGAAATTTTTATAGTATACAATCTGTTTGAATGTTATCCTCCCGCTATGTATGTGATAGTGACCTTGAGCCAGTGCGGACAGACTAGCTGGTGGCCCGGCGATGTTTGTCGGAGGCGCAGTACGGACACGCGCCGCAGCTGTAGGGCAGCTCGCGAGGACAGTGGGCCTCCTGCATGTGAGCCGCCAGGGTCAGCACCGCCGCGAAACGAACCTTTAACACATTAACACTATTATTATTATCGCCACCACTTTATATATAGCAGAGTTACTACTGGCTATGCGTCTCACTCACTCATATTTTCTTTTCTGATTAAAACAATAAATACAAAAACACAGCACTATGTAAAATAATATTTAAATTCTGATAATCAAACTACAGCCCCCTGCAGCGCCACGTTGATACTGAAGACAACATGTGTTGAATAAGCGCAGGTTCTATACAATTAACTTATCTTTATTAATTGATTGATAATAATTGAATAAACCACAAAAATTTTACTTCCATGGCACGCATAGTTTCATGTTCACCCTTTCAAGCTCTTATGGAATAGTCATACTGCAGCTTGATGTTTTTAGTAAACGTAGTTCAAGCAAAACTAAAGTATCAAAAAATAAGTTTGTTTTTTTTCATTTGCGTGTTGCTATTTTATACCTAAGTATAATATAAATATACATTTTGTTAGTTTTCTATGTGATTTATATTGATTTCACCAAACTTAATTAATTTACTGCTAAATTGTATTTTTTACTTACAAAAAATGTTTTTAGATATAAAATCATGTTCCAATATATTTTTTAGTTCTTATCTGTTCTGTTCAAGGCTTAAAAAATTGTCGATATAACAGTAAAAATATTATATTTTATCTGTAAAATATAAATAAAATAAATAATTATTTATTTTATCTGTCACAAAGGCACCGGCACAACCCAAAACATCTTACCAGGAGAACATAAAGTTATGCAGGTCTCTCAATGAAGTCTGATAAAGATTCATATATAAGATTACAGTTGTTCAAAGTCTGGTTGGGGAGGTGGCTCTTGAGGCAAGGGTTCAAAGTCTCCGAGTGTGTTGTGAGGTTCTTCGTGTCTCGGTGTTGCCAGAGGGTGGTCATCTGTGTCTTTCAGGAGTTCTTGATCATGCTTTAAAACATATGTGAAATATAAATTATTTGTTTATATAATTTAAATTATATTTCTCCCCTATGAGCATAGTACACACCTGATCAGGTTGTAAAACTGAAGGTGGGGCAAGATCATCTAGAGATAGCTGAGTGTTGATGACCGATGGGGGAGCGTAATCTGGGATAGCCGGCATGTGCTCCACAATCTAAAACATTAAATATATAAACAATGTGATAAAATATTATAATATAATCGCAAAACAGTATGAGTAATCACTAGTAGATACTCACAGGCTCTACTTCATCAGCAGGTTTTGGTTCTTCCCTGACGGTGTTGGCTCGTGCTAGTTCCTCAGTTAAGTACACACGCGCTTGTTGTGTTGTGTCACGAGGAGATGAGATAGAATGTCCGTGCCTGGAGTAATATTATATTAGAACAACAAAGTTTTTCATATAGAATTGCAAATTTTTACGAACTGTATACAATTTTTGCGTCGTGAAGATAAAATCTGTTAATACTACATACTTGTTTAATTTAACGATGCCGTCTGGGGATTAAAATATTAATATTTTATTAGTTACTATAGTCATTGGGTATTTGTATATTTTATATTGATTTATATATGCTGCTGGTCTAATAGTTACATAGTTCGTTATAAAATTTATAAAAGAAAATGAAAATATATTATATTGATTGATATCCTATAACCAGTGTAAACTGACTTATATCTGTAGAGTATTCGCAGACGCAGTATAGCGTGGGAGCGGGTCTAGGAGCGGCCTCCAGTGAAAGTGAGCCGGCGCAATATCCACTGTGTCTCAACATCGCTCGGTAACATGATGTAGCATATGGACACTTGCTGCGCGACGTGCGACCGCTGTATATTGAGAATATTAAAATTATACTTTAGTATGTATTAAACATTTGGTATATTATTTATCTAATCTTTCTTCATTTGAAAATATAGAAATATTAAACAGATGATATCACAATATAATAAGGGCTACTAAAATAACATTTTTTTTGTAAAAGTTAATGAGTGTTTTTAACACGATAAAGAAAAAACTACGTCTCTTTACTGACATTCAATAAATCTGATTGTATTCAATGTATGCAGCGTCGTTTTATCAAGTGGTTATACTAACAGGAAGTGTTTGTCACTGTCAAGCGGCGTGTCACACTCGCGACACAGAAGACCCTCTTGTATGACCAACGTGACACCTTCATACGTGTCGCTGATGGCGTGACACGCGACGTGCTTGATGGGAGGGCGGGCTTTGTTCTGAAAATAATATATTATTATATAATTGCAGTTTGTTAATTGTAGATAAATAAGTAGCAGTATATAAAACTAGCAGTAGAGTTATATGACGTACATACCTTGGGCAGGTTAATCAAGTGCTCAGTAGAACACAAAGGTAGAACCTCCTCGAACGGGTTGTGGTCTCGAATCTGATGCTCTTTCAGTTGACCTGAAAAATATTATACGTATTAATGTGTGTATTGAACTCATTTTATTGTAAATGAAACTAATATTTTTCGGATATACTACACGACTTGATTTTTGATAAAACTACATACTCCCGACGTTTCGGCTACTTTTCAGCAACCGTGATCACGGACAGACGAGATGTGAGCGTTTATTTATATTGTATAATGAGACTAGTAAACCCGGCGGACTCCGTTTCGTCACCAGGCTTCGTTTTATGTAGCATTTCGTTTGGTGATTAAAAGATGAAGAATTTTTTATTGTTTTATATTTGAAAAGGAAAATTTTAATTTCGTTTCACAACAGTAATGAATTCATTTCGATTACAGAAATGTAGTGTTATTTAGTTGAACTTCTCTAAGTAAATAAAAGTGAATCCAAAGTAGATACCGTAGAATCGAAGCGTTATACGTGTCAGCAAATTATCCGTTACATTGAAGTGGTCCTTTGTAAACCACATTTTTTGTTTTTTGGTCTAACGTTAACACAAATAAAGCGGATGGTTTCCGAACTCCTGAACACGCAAAGTATAACTGCCTATGTGAAAAACAATGATTTTCTAAATTTATCCCGCAAATACTAAATGGTTTTAAGAGTTTAAACTACAAACACAATACCGGTTTGTCACATGAAATTACCAGAGCAGAAAACAATGAGTAGCTGTCAAACAATGTATCATGCACCGGCACCATCTACTTAAAATATGCAAACGAATGCAAAATCGTGGAAATCGGTTCGTTCGTTCTGGAGTTATAGCGTCAGGAAGGAAAACCGGACTTATTTTTATATAGTAGATTTAAGACTTGCGAGTATTAATTTCAATGAAAGTAATATTTTCGGAATACTTTGCGTATTTTATTATTTTTAAAAACACCACACTCCCGACAACTCGTCTGCCTTAATCATGTTTGCTGACGAGTAACCGAAACGTCGGGTGTATATATAATAGTTTTTTAAATAATAAAATACGCGAAACAGTCCGAAAATACATATTAGTTTCATCTGTTTATATAGTACTTACAGTTGTATTATTCAACGAGACGTACGAATCTCAGCACACATCTCGTACATTTAATCTCCAGCTCCTTGTCCTGGTGTTGTTTGAGATGGTCCATGTAGAGGAGCACGTTGGCCGTCAGCTCACAGCCTTCAGCGTACACTGGAATCATCTGAAGACAGATATACGATGATTTTAATTTCTTCTACTATTTGATGTGACCTCTTAAAATTATTATTGAAACTGAAATAAATGAATTCCTCCTTACGAAACGCATGTTTATTTAAGCCGTTTTTAAATTACTTTAAGAGTTTTGAATAAAGAGCAAATATGTTCTATAAAATTGTTATTAAGACATGAAAATTTTATTTTGATTTTATGTGACATGAAAATTTGGTTTATTTTGTTAAAACTAGGCACTATTTAAGCTTATTGAGCTATCGTGCCTCGCGCCTGAGCGGCAAATGTCATAATATATTATAATATAATCGCAAAACAGTGTGAGTAATCACTAGTAGATACTCACAGGCTCTACTTCATCAGCAGGTTTTGGTTCTTCCCTGACGGTGTTGGCTCGTGATAGTTCCTCAGTTAAGTACACACGCGCTTGTGTGTTGTGTCACGAGGAGATGAGATAGAATGTCCGTGCCTGGAGTAATATTATATTAGAACAACAAAGTTTTTCATATAGAATTGCAAATTTTTACGAACTGTATACAATTTTTGCGTCGTGAAAATAAAATCTGTTAATACTGCATACTTGTTTCATTTAATGATGCCGTCTGGGGATTAAAATATTAATATTTTATTAGTTACTATAGTCATTGGGTATTTGTATATTTTATATTGATCTATACATGCTGCTGGTCTAACAGTTACATAGTTAGTTATAAAATTTATAAAAGAAAATGAAAATATATTATATTGATTGACATCCTATAACCAGTGTAAACTGACTTATGTCTGTAGAGTATTCGCAGACGCAGTATAGCGTGGGAGCGGGTCTAGGAGCGGCCTCCAGTGAAAGTGAGCCGGCGCAATATCCACTGTGTCTCAACATCGCTCGGTAACATGATGTAGCATATGGACACTTGCTGCGCGACGTGCGACCGCTGTATATTGAGAATATTAAAATTATACTTTAGTATGTATTAAACATTTGGTATATTATTTATCTAATCTTTCTTCATTTAAAAATATAGAAATATTAAACAGATGATATCACAATATAATAAGGGCTACTAAAATAACATTTTTTTTTTGTAAAAGTTAATGAGTGTTTTTAACACGATAAAGGAAAAACTACGTCTCTTTACTGACATTCAATAAATCTGATTGTATTCAATGTTTGCAGCGTCGTTTTATCAAGTGGTTATACTAACAGGAAGTGTTTGTCACTGTCAAGCGGCGTGTCACACTCGCGACACAGAAGACCCTCTTGTATGACCAACGTGACACCTTCATACGTGTCGCTGATGGCGTGACACGCGACGTGCTTGATGGGAGGGCGGGCTTTGTTCTGAAAATAATATATTATTATATAATTACTGTTTGTTAATTGTAGATAAATAAGAAGCAGTATATACAAGTAGCAGTAGAGTTATATGACGTACATACCTTGGGCAGGTTAATCGAGTGCTCAGTAGAAAACAGAGGTAGAACCTCCTCGAACGGGTTGTGGTCTCGAA